AAACTGAGAAATGCTATGACTAATAATCAGTTTTAATTTATAGCAGCTGGACATAAAAGATTCAATTTTAAACTGAGAAATGCTATGACTAATAACTGTTGTACTCAAAATTAGTTAACTGTACTTACTTACAATGAATGTTTGACCCATCTTCACTTAACACTTCATATTTATCCAATAAATTGTTACATTCATGAATGTACGCCATTCGATTTCGATTCTCAACTTTGCATCATTACACTATCCTTATGGCAATTATAACTGGGCTGCCAAGTCTAGCTACAATCCACAATATTACGGTAAACACTTGACCACACGCACACATACACGCATACACACACACACACACACACACACACACACACACATAGAGAAAAGCAAATACATACATCGCCAGAACGGATTATGTATAATTCCACCACAGATGCCACATGGGTCGGTAGCTCAACATGAGAATTGCTGGAGATTATGCATTTATTCAAGTGCATTTTGGCAAGCAAATGCAAGTGGAACTGCATCTGCAACTGCAACTGCTGCATATGGAATTAATATGCCCTTTGTTTATAATGCAACATATTGGCCAGGCTGCCAAAATCAATATGCTATATGCTAATCGCAATATTTACTTTTGCGGCTACGTGTATTTCAATTAATCTCTGCCTCGCAACATCAGCCAAATTAAAGTAAACCAATGCATCGATGCGGCTGGCATTTAACGCAAATTCAATAGCAATTGGCAGTTCTAAATGCCAATCGAAAATTTAATTACGACAGCAGGTAAACGATATTGACCTATGTCGACCTTGAATGCATTAATTACCGGCCTCTGCCTCTGTGTGCCACTTGATTAGCTTATCTTGATTTGATTAAACGAGGTGTAACATAAAAATAGTTAGACCCGAGACACTTAATTGCACTAGCAACTGGTGTTATCAGCCGGTAGCAAAAATATAAATGGCTTAACATTTTGTCAACATAATTGAAATAGGCGTGCACAGAGCTGAGTGACTAAGTAAATAAATAATAAAAATAATACATAGAGTGGTATTTTTACTGCGACTAATCTCTACATCAAAAGCTAGTGGGAATATCATATACATCAGATGCTTTTGGCTTAGGAAAAAAGTTGTAATTGCCGAGCTCAAATTTCTAGTATAATCTACATATATTCCTATATCTATCTGTATTTGTCTTTTTTTCTGTCTTTTTTCTGTCTCATTAGAATTCTTAAGCTACTCAAAACTCTTTTTATCAGGCAATTTTTTTTTATTGATTTTAATTGATTGATAACATAAAATATAAGTTGTATTTATAGCGTTTATAATACACATACACACATATATTGCAAATAGATTTGTTAGTTTACGAAAAGTTACGACGACTGCAGACTTCAGAACATTTCAGCAACATCAGCTTTGTTTAGTTTTGTTTGTTAATAATACCATATAACAGTTTGATTAAGTTTTGTTTTTCTAAATAAATATATGCACTTTGTATTCGTTTTAGACGGAGGTAGCTGCACTTATTTTTTGCTTAGGCCTCAACGGAGCCTTCAGCTTCCAACTGAGCCTTGCGGCTGGGCTGTATGTGGAAGAGAGAGAGAGAGAGAGAGATAGAGAGAGGGAGAGAGGGAGATAGAGAGAGGGAGAGGAAAGGGAAAGTATGTTATCGATTGGTTTCTTGTTTGGTTTTTGGTAATAACTACCTTGGGATGCATGAGTATGAAGGGCAGCTCGGCGCATAGCTCGCCGCCCAGAGCGCCTAGGAAGAGCTTCACCTTGACCGCATAGGAAACAATGATGCCGAAGGCATCGCGAGCATCCTGACTGGCAATGCTGTGAATGTCAAAATTAAAGTTGAACTGCTTGCAGGACCTTTGGGTGTTCTTAAACTTACAGTGTGGTGGAGGCCAGTGCGGTGACCTTGCGTTTGATGTCGCCCTCGACGGCAATGCCAGCGCGATCGCAGTTGGCCACCAGCGTGGGCACCAGATACATGACCTTCTGCAGGCTGGAGCCCGGATTCAGTGGGCAGCCCTCGCTGGTCTCCATGAAGGCAATCGTGTTGCGGAACTGTCCATTCTGGAAGAGTACCACATCGACGCCCTGCTGCACCATGGCCTTGATCTTCTTCACAACCTTGTTCGAGTTATTGCGCACGCAAATGTTCACCGATATCTTCTCGCCATGATGGTAGAGCTGCTTGTCCAGGGTCACCTCCAGCTCCAGCTCTCCGGGCGACAGCAGGAAGTCCTTGCGCACCACGGTGCACGGCTGCAAGCCCTGCTTGGTGGGTGCATACTGCACCTTGCGTATGCCCAGATTGATGGTGCTGCGACGATGCGAGCGATCGCAGTCGTTGTCGCCCGTAAAGATCTTCACGAAGTACTGCACACCACAGGGCTGGCTCTCGTCGCTGGCCTTCTGCTGCAGCACCACCGAGGCGGGTGAGCTGGTGGGCATTTGCATGACAAAGGGGATGGCATTGGAGCCGAGCTTCTTGAGCAGACGCTCCTGCATCTTGGTCAGCTGGATGTCCTGCTTCTGTTGCGGGTACACCTGCTGCGAGACGAGCGTCAGCTCCTTCTGGAAACGCAATCCAATCATTTCGTCGTCCTCGCGTCCATAGCGAAAGTTGCAGACGAGCTGCACGAAGATCTTGCGATTCTGTCGCACGTACTCATCGTCCAGCACAATGATGCCATCTGCAAATGGACATGCGAAATTAATTGGACTAGACCAGACCGGGAATACGCCCACAATCACGGCCACGCCCCGACACGTGTTTTGGCCAAATATTCCACGGCCGAACAATTAACACGTAACTAATAAGCAGCTTTGAGGCTGCCACAACTGCCTCTGCCCCATTGCATAAATTAGAACGTAATTTAATTAAAGCCCAACTAGATCAACTGATTAAGTCTCGCACGTATGCTTAGGTGAAATAGTTAATTCTATCTGAAATACATACGGATTACATTTAGATTTTTTTTTTTATTTATTTTTATTTTTTTAACTTAGTTCTTTTAGTCTGGTGGATGATAATTAAGTATTGAGCTATGAAATCCATGAATATATTGTAAAATATATAAGGTTTTATTCCTTTACTATCTGTATGGATTTAAGAAATTCAGGAGTTGAATAAAACATGGAAATTTTTAGCTTAATAAAACTTAATATACCTATTCTATTCTATTTATTTCAAGAAAAAAAGAAGGTAAAATTAAATATATAGAAATTTGTTTTTATTATTTTTATATTTAATATTTTTATTTTTAAATATTTCAAATAATAAAAAAAAAAAATTGTTTAAATCTCAATTTCAATTATGAAATTGAATTTTTTTTCTTCAAATATAGTTTAAGTTAAAAAAATCTTCTTAAATTGTTTCCATTTATATTTATTAAAAAATAAAAACCATTTTATGTATTTTAAGAACTGCTTGAATAAAATTATTATTCTTAGATTTGTTCTTACTTTAAAATATTTCTTCACTTATATGTTATATTTCTTCAAATACAAACACTTTTCTATATCACGCCTACAGTTGTTACTACTGTAAAGTATTTCTTGACTCATATAAATAATATTTTCTTAAATGGAAGCACTGTATTAATTATTTCTTCGTCACACGAAACTCGAGTAAGCAAACATTGAATTTGAGTAATCAAAAACTAAATATTTTCTCTGATGTAATTCTTCGTAATCCACCAAAATCCGACGACCACCTACCGATTGGTTCCACCTGTGTCACCGAATCCACAAACTCACGCCTATTCATATAGAGCGTGATCATGTTGTTCGGCGCACATTTTTTAAACACCTTGAAGTTAACAACCATTTTGCCGAAATTGTTTGTTTTGT